ATCGTTCCATACGGTAAGTGCCGTACCAGCGTTGGTGCCTCTCCTTTTTGAGAACCAAAACCGCTGGAATGCCGCCACACCCCGAGATTCCTCCGAGGCTCGGAAGTTGGGAGTCTGGGGTGAGCCGTGGGATGATCTGCATGAGTAGCGAATGCAGGTAATCCACTAGGGTCTCCCCCGTCTAATCGCATTGCATTTCTCTGCATTCTATTCTGGTGGATGGAGTCCTGGGTACTCCGCAAGCCTCGGGATGGGAGAGCCTCGGGATAGCGGGATTTCTTCGGATATTGGGAGGTAATTCTTGTATCCTGCTTCTCCGGGTTTTGTATACCCAGTCTACTCCGCATGTAGCGGTGAGGCCCCAGTGTTTCAAGTCTGATAGGTAGGTTGTGGAGATCGATGAAAATTTGCTGTCTGTATTTGCCTCTTGAGGAAATATCAAATTTAACAACGCAACTATTGAAAGCAAATTCGATGGTGTCGAAAGAATACCGTCTAAATATACTAGCCAATATCCAAACTTGGAGGGTCCAACTCAACTAATGCGCAACACTACCAATTTCATGAATACATGCTCATTTGATATTAACGAAAATAAGCATTCTGCTGATGTCATTATAACCAGTCACCTCTTGGCTTCTATGTATAAGCAACATTTTTTGTAGCCCTAATCTTAACAATTTGCCCTATCAAAAACCCTAATCTGGCGTCGGAGGCTCTTCTTCATTCTATATCGAGACTCGGCCAAAAGCATGAGCATATAGTGGTAATCCAATTGGCATCAGATAGATGTCCATTCCATATTGAGATTCGGACGCATCAGTCTGACACATCCGCTGGTAAGTTTCTGCTAGAAGTATTTATTTCCAAGTATTATCTTCTCTTCTTCTCCTCACTCAACTGATACATGGCGCTCTGCTCTATGTTTCCGCTCATCCCATTTCTTATACCATGCCTTCTAAACTGCGTTAGTCGATCCCCCCGGATGCTATGAAGGGGGTGCTGGACGCTACCCAAAGATCCCTCATACGGATTCTTGCAGAGGAGGCCAAGGCCTCTGGCTAGATGAGGCGCAACTTGAATATACGCCGCCTCAAGCTAGCTAGTCGGTATTTTCTACCGCTATAAGGAGAAGTATGAGCGATCATAAAGATCATACTTGGTATGTCATGCAAATACAGCCATAGCTCCTTTCCCTCTGTCCAAATCTAATTCTATAAACAGTATAACGCAGCATTCTTGCAGAGTACCCCTCCATAACCACGGATATACCGTACAGCGATGATGGGATGCCTGAAGGACCTCTACACGCACTAGAGGTACAGGCTTGATGAGACACCAGCTTCCTCCCCCGAACACCGATCTAAGAGCCTGGTGCCACAGATATCCCTCACAGTACCCCGGGCCAAGCCCGAGTAGGCACTGGTCGTCGGGACTCCTCATACTTCCTCTTGTAGAGGTGGTATAACTTGCCGACTGCCCAACCGGAGGCGACATCCACGATGCTCACCACCCAACTAGGAGCCTTCGCATCCTCCACAAGGATCCGTATGAGGGATCTTTGTGTGGCGTCCAGCACCCCCTTCACAGCATCGGGGGGATGGACCAACGTAGCTTTGCGGGCATGGTATAAGAACGCGGATGAGCGGAAACAAAGAGCAGACCGTCATGTATCAGCCGGGACCCGAGGAGGAAAAGAAGAGAAAGAAAGAGACGGAGACTCGAGGGAATTTACATTGTGAGGCCATCATGGTTTGGGCAAGTGCGATTAGGGCAAGAACGACCTTGATGTCTGCGGTCATGTCTAGTGCAGGGAATTACGAACCCGCGATGTACCTAGAGTATTTGGATTAACAGAGACACCCTTCTTTCTAGATATATTTCTACATGGTTATATGCCAAGATTCGCCAATTTGGCCCAGAACTAAAATGTATGACTCAAGTGAAATAAATGATCAGATTTCTGTTCACCAAACCATCTGTGCCGCAGAGAAACCCAACCCTACATTGGTCGAGGCCAATTTGGCATATCATGCAGCATATAGCACAGATGAGACCCTGCCTATTCAAAGACACAAGCAAATCGAAAGGACCATATCCGGAGCAATTCATGTTCTTTGGGAGTCTCCCCTGACAGCTGCCATTCGCGCCAATACGCCACACAATGATAGACCAGGCTTTTATAGTTGCTGCGAAGACAGGCAGTCTCGAGATGTTTGATATACTACGTGCTGCGAAGCAGATGAGTCTACATGGTGCAGAAATCATCGTTGGGTGATGAGCAGGTCCAAATTCAAGAAGCGGACTACTCAGTATCCGCTCTCTCTACCTCTTCGCCTGTTCATGAAGCCATCGAGGCTGGCAATTAACCTATGATACGGCATCCCTGAACCGTCGTCCTTACGCAGCTCCAACCTTCAGTCTCCTACCGCTGTCGCATGCCATCACCCGTTGCGATTCAACCAATGCTAGCGTGCAACGGTGTCTGGTAGATTTACCGTCTCACCCTCAGCTCAGCCCCAATCCGCGCACGCCATCTTCCATGTGCACATCATGATCCAGATCTCCTTTCATGGTTGGTGGCTTTCATACGCGGTAGGATTGGTAGCGTAGGAACAACGGCTCTAGGACATACGCTACTTCACGTTGCTTCGCTGCCTATCACTGCCAATCAAATTGTAGCTTACGATCCAGTTGTTGCAAGAAATATACTACGCCCGTACCCTTGATTCTAGATGGCTTCCCTATGGAATTCCAAGTCCGCTGCATATGCAATTTCCAAAACCAGAGGGTAAGGGCGTAAGAAAACTACAGCCATTGACAATCCCAGCAACAGGCGCAGAATGCGACTGTTCAGCCTTTGTTGCAATGGCGAGGGAATGATACTAGAGCAAATGATATAGACGGTGTCACGGTACTACTGAATTATGGCTGGGACTTGCAACGTCAGTGAGTATATTGTGATGGTTCGACAAATAGATGGAGGCGAGGAAACCTGGCAGAATGCGACAAACTGCTATGGGTAGTATATAAAAGCCCTCCAGTACGAGCTCCAGGTTCAAAACAGCAAATCAGGTGAGCTTTGTATCCCAGGGCAGTAGCACCCAATTAGGAAAGACTCTCCGCGATAACGGCTTATCGCTGCTTTCCAAGGTTCTCCTTAGGCACTAAACTACAAACAGAAATGACGTTTCTGCCACGCCCGGCCGCCCGGGGAAACGAGAATCTCAAGTGTCAAGTCCAGATTGAGAGCGTCATCCACTCAATCTACTTTATTCCGCGAGTCCCTATATGATTTGACCCTCTCGGCAACCCCTCAATTCAAATCCTAGACATTGAACAACACCCCCATTCCAATATCCCTCCAGCCTCGAGCTCCGGGACGCAATGGCACCCCCGCGCCAGCGCACCACAGCTATCGTGGATGACTCGAGGTCCGAAGCCTCGAGTGGTACGAGAGAATACCACAAAGCCACCAAATCCCGCAGACCAGCTGCGGCAAAAGAGAGAGCCTCGGTCACCAGCGCGCCCGTCGTGGAACACCAGAACACCGAAGAACAGCCCCGAGTATGTCTCATTCCGAAAGAAACGATCAATCGCAACTCTACAAAAAACACAGCGAAGAGACCATAAACTAATCCCCCTTTTACCTCTACAGCTCCCCTGGACAGATCTACCTCTCGAAATGCTCCACTCCTACCGCCACGTCCATAAACTCCCCACACCCTCCGCCTTTTCGAGCGACTACTCCCGCATGATCCTCTCGCAAGGCGTCGGCCTTCGCTCGCCAACCACCCTCGCTGCCCGCCGCGCTCAATCCTTATCCCAAAACCACTCCCACCGAACCAACACCTCGTCGGACTCCGTCTCCGACTCCACACTGCGTCGCACCGCCGGCCAGGACCGCGTGAGCAAAGACCAGTTCGCGCTTGTTGTCAGGAAGCACTTCAACAGCGCTGGTCTCTCGGAGCAGGAAACCATTGCGCGGTTTCTGTACACTGTGCGTGAGGACAGGAGAGGGAGGCAATTCCGATTGCGGTTTCAGCCGTAAAGTGAGGGATGTGTCTAGCTTTGGTCTCTTGCTCTTCTCGTTTCTTTTCCCTTCCTAGCAGGGGAAATGGGATTATACAGGGCTTTGGACAGAGCTAGGGCTCTTCTGCTTCTTATCCCACCGTTCTGGTGCTAGCCTGTCCTGGTTGACGGTGCGCTTGGTTCGGTGCGGTGAACATACATGGCGTGTGTGGCTTACTGGGTTGCCTTGCTTTGAGAATCTGGCGGCCTTTTCTCTTTTGATATATTAAGATACCCATTGGCGTTCCGTGTGTTTATCTTGTTCTATCTCTACTTCTTGGTTTGCGGGTTGCGGACTCTTCCTTCCACTATGTAACTATACTTTACTTGACTTGTACTTTTGCCTATAGGAATGCTACGTCGTTAGATCGGCGCAGAAAATACTACTCGAGGAGGAGTAGCGACAGCTCCAAGCGTTAAATGACTTACTAGTAAGCGATAGCGATATCCTTCCACAGCTCTGCAATAAACAAGTATCAGTAATCTGGGACCGCAAACGAGCAGTTTAGGCTCTTTGTAACGGTGTTGTTTCAGCCTTAGAAGCGAGCGATCTTTAAGCCTACTCTATCGATAAGCCTGAGCCTTGATTGAGTCTCCAGATGGTATGGGTAGGAATAATGATATTTGATCTTCTACTAGCTATTTGCGCTAAGGATTAGCGCTAGCGTTAGAGAAGGCCTATACTGCTGGTGAGCATTCGTTGAATTTGGTGACGGGAACGGTGCACGGCTGTTGATACATCCAACGTATTCTAGATCCTCCGGTATTCTGTGCATTTTACAGTCGCGAAACCGTATTAAATGGTCCGTGTATTGAAAATGGAGTGCCAAGATTGACCTATACCAATTAGGTTAGACTGCTGTGCCAACGGTCATTGCAGTCATTACCCAGTCATTACCCATCGACTCGACTATACCGTTGCCCGCAAAATGGCATCTGCTCGCAGCCTCGATCAGCCGCCGTCCACCGCGACTGAATGTCCAGCGAATGCTACATCGACACTATCACCCTGCCCGTCTGCATCTACCCCGCCCACCGAGATATCGACCCCGCGTGACGAAATGCCCGAAGTTAACGACGATATCTTGGGAGGACTGGAAGACGTGGTCGTTCTAGATTTTAAGGGGCCTCAGTCCCTAAAGAAACAAATCGACTCCCGACAGAAGGAACTGCAGGCTAGTCGCTCCTGCCAGCAGTTCATCGTGTGCCGGAACGTTAGGAAGGAGCAATTGACTAGCATGGATCAGCGACGAAGCCTCGGTAGAGGCATTCGAAAGTCCTATAATTCAAACTTACAAATTCTCGTGCTCAAGATGCTGACTACAATTCACGAAGCCGCTCACTTGACCCTATGGCAGATTATTTGGAGGCAGCTTATCGCGATGGGGGATGGAGAGTTGATAGCACCATGCGGGGGGGGACCTTCCTAAGCCAAAGCAAAATATCGTCTAAGGAAGCCGATACAGCGTATAAACCAGTGACACGAAACCAGCAGTCTGACTGGCCTACTATCGTCCTCGAGTGTGGATACTCCGAGTCGATGCGTCGCCTCGCAGTCGACGCACGGTGGTGGCTAGTTAACGCCGGCGGCGACATAAAGACAATCCTCCTTATCTCAATAAATAAGGAGAGGCAGGCCCTCCACCTCGAAAGATGGTACCTTACTCCGCCTCACAACCGGCCCGCAACCCGCAACCCCCGAGTATGGTCCCGACAAAGACAGGCGAGGTAGATATTGTTGCAGGTAATCCCAGGCCATACTCACGTACTATATCTATAGTACCGTACTAATCATTGCAATCATAGGTATTGTGACAGGGGCGCCGCTATGCCTGAAGTTTGAGGACCTTGTGGAGCGGCCACCCGGCCCAACGGAGAGGGACGTTGTCCTAACTGCTGATCAGTTGGCCACATGGGCCAACTTCCTGTGGACCACTTATCAGTAACTGCCATCTCGGTCGGCTGAGCAGCAGTCAGGCTAGTACTACCCTAGCGTCTTATGCCTCTCTCCTCGAATCTCTCGCGCAAAGGGGTCCCAGACGTTGCCAACCAGACACGACCTAGTTTCGGTCTTTCTTCGGTCTTTCTTGAAGCAGTTCCTTGAATTTGTAACGGTGCCCAGAAGCTCCAATCATTTCACTAGGCGCTGAAGCCATTCTATTGATAGTACAGCGGAACATGTTATCTTGTATTCTCAGAAGTCTTGACATTAAGTCTAGCAGAATTGAGAGGATGTTATACTTAACAAACATAAACTAATACGATACATATAGCACCTAGGAGAGAAAGCAAGAAACGATGAATCTCAATGATAAAGCAGAGCACTGTCTCTACTATATAGTTCATTGGTATAGCTTAATACAGACAAGAAATAAGGCCCCGGTACTATGTGTTTTACATTTGGGCGACAGACGTTCGTTATTAAATTTACCATCTTTACTTCAATTCAATTTCTATCTCCTTTATAGAAATCTTAGCTCTTAGTCTTTAAGTTCAGAGTCCATATATAAGACGCGCGCTAGCGTGTATGTCAGGTTTCTAATTTATATACCCTTTTCACCCCACTCTTGGTGCACCAAACCAATCAGACCCAATACTAGATCCACCTTACACAGAAGGGGTCTAACATCGTCCTCCGTGGTGCTCCGGACAAATTGGCTAAAGTCTAGCGCCATTTCTAGTGTCCACCGGATGTTTGGGGGCCGGAAGTCTGAGATCCGGCGAAGCAAATTGTCTCTCAAGCGCTTGGGAAACGTCGGATGTGTTGATATGCCAATATTCCTTTCCTGTACTGTAGATCATTCCAAGATTTGCCAAGTGAATAATGCTTCCCGGAAGCTTTTTTGTTGTGGGGCCGGAGTGGGATCGACCAATCAGATAGCTTATAATTTATGGACGGTGTCCGGTTGTAAAGGTAGGCTGGTCCAACAATCCCACCACTCGCTTCTGAAAGTCTGCTCGAGTACCTGGGGCCAGATACTTTGAAGGACGGACACAACTCTACTAGAGAGGCGGATCTCTTCATCACGAGGAGACTCATCCCAATTGTTTTGCCTGGCTCGTTTTATCTCCCATGCCCTTTTCCCAATCTGCTCCATGACAGGTACTCCTGGATTCTCAAGGTTATGACCTGTAAGCCGATATGATCGCGCAAAGCAGTCGAGTAAGTAACGCTCCTCTTGGGCAAAGCACACATTTCCGTATGGGAAAATGCGTAGGTCTTTCAAACTGGGGCTCTTGTCTTTGATCTTGGTCCAAATCTGGAGAGCCAGGCTCTCGTCCATGGCTGCATTTATGAAAGTTCGTCGGAGATCGGGATCGTCTGTTTCGGGAGAGCTGCCCATCCTCGGTACCTTTGGTCGAGCATCGAAATCCAAATCTAGAAATAGTCTTTGGAGATTGGGGAAGGTACCTAGCGCTTTGTACATCTCACACTCTGCTTGGTTGCCCGCTGACCTCTTCATTTGAAGGCGCAGCTCTTCCATGTTCGGACAAAGATTCATCATTTCGAGGAGCTTGGAAGAATTGAGTCTGGGATACTGGTGGACCTTGTTGAGCACGAGAGCAAGTCCCTTCAACGACGGTCCATGACGCTGGATGATTCTGTCCAAGGTTTCAACATCGCGAAGGCCCCTGATATAAAGATATTCCAAGGGGCGAAAGGCAAGTATCCCAGCTATTGATTCTTCGATGTCAGTTTCGATAGTCGTAGGTCTCTGGTTCCTTCTATCGAGATCAAGGAAAAGCCTCTTTAGATTTGGCAACAAGTCGGCAACGTTGACAAGTTCCCCCGGTTCACAAACGCAACCAATGTCGAGTGAGCGGAGTTGAGAAAGGTCTCCGGCGGCAGCTAATTTGGAAAGCATAATTCCTTCGGGCCGGTTGCTGGGAATTGTGACCGATTCCAACTGGGATATTGCCTTCGGCTTGGCTTTATCAATCAAGCTTTGCCATATCGCTTTCAGCAGATCCACTCCAGCTTTATGAATACCATCAGTAGGCTTCAGACAGAGATGCTTCAGCCCCGGGCTGGTGAATAAGAAAGGCATCATCTCCCAAAGCTGCTGATGTTCAGCCGACCGCCTGTAGTAAATGGAAATCGCCGTTGTCAGGGTATGAAGGCCCGGCAGCTGAAGAGTATCCATTTTGAATTTGCTAGAATCTCTAGACACGGATTAGTATTTGGATAGAGTGGACTAGGTCCTACTTTTGGTTACCGAGAATATTCAGCCTGCAATCGGGATGGTAGCGCCAAAATGCTTCCGTGAAGTCGGCTGTGAAGTCGTCGTTCGTGATAAAGTCGAATTGATCAAGATGGTTCAAGCTAGCAATGAGCGATACGACCGGTGCCCAGTTTGGAGTTTTCCCAATACTTCTATGGGTATTTGAAAGTAAGTCTCCGCCGGTTGTTGAGTAGCAAGAGGTCATATAATGCTCCAAGAAGCCTTTTCTCGTCGCCGGGTTCGGGTCAGTCACCATGTTGAGTGCCCATGGCTCTAGCGTCCATGGCCGGGCTTGTCAGAATTCAGACTCCGACGACAATTTAATACAGACAAGGGATAATCTCCTAGCAAATCTCGCGAAATTACTCGCCCGGGGAGCTTCTGTCACTTTCGACAATGCAGCCTCTAGGTCTTGGAATGTATTGAATATCAGTGTGATGTTTCGGTAAAGGATAGGGACTGCCGCCTGGTTGCAGAGATGGTTGATCTGACTGAAAGATGAGGTCTTTGGGTGGGCAATATGCAGGACTCTCGAGCTAATCCTCATCAGCATGAGAAATGGCGTGAACTGGGGAGGTCCCGTTAGCGACGTACATTGAGGCATATTTGCTGTAGAATTTCAATCGGAAGGCGATCCATTACGAACTGTGTCGAGGTTGCAAAGGGAAGAGAGAAATCGACTTGAAATCGTCGAGACTAGTCAACTCTTAGCGCGTATGACTTCCAAGGTCGAACCCGGTCCCACATGCACCATTTTAAGGGAAATCCCACCCATCTATAACCCACTCTCTTGTTACCCATAAAGCGGCACTCGCCCTTTACCGAGGTGCCATCCGATCGCATATTGTCAACACCCAAGCCTGTAGTCTATGGAGCCACAGCCCTCCCACCATAGCTCCCCGGCATTGGACGTGCATCACTCGACCACTGGCTTGCCCAGATACTGGTCCCTAAACCGCAGTCACTGTTCCTAAGGCTATGGCCTATAGTCCCAGGCGGCTCATGAGCCACGGACCATGGGCCAGCTAGGCTTAGTATCCACCATCTGGCGACTCGGTTGCTAAATACATGATGCGCAGCAAACAATTCAATTATGAGTACTACTAATATGATCGGTCTGGTATATAGTAGGGAGCGTAGCTTCTAGGTAATAATACCGAGGTTTGCCTAACATTAATATAGAGGATAAAGTGAACCTGGCGCTAAGTAGGATAATTTCTATGGCAAGACTGGGCGACGGAATTTCTGATCTACATGCTTGGTGTAAAATTTATTAGACTATGGGGATGTCCTACGACCTCTGAATAAGTAGACGTGTACCAAATTCCAAGTCCTGAGAGGGTTCAAGTCAGAATCAAGCATGTGGACCTTGTCCCAAGGCCAGCAGAGGTGTTGGACCAGAATCTCAGATCTCGGGGAGTAACAAGAACGATGTCTAAGGGACAATGATTTACTACCGAGAACTGAAGTCTAGCAGCCTAAGGCCAATTATTGATTGAGCCGTCGTCAAAAACCTTGCTCTTCCCAGACCTCCTGAGCAATCTTTCTCCAAAATAGCGCCGTCAAGGCTGATCTTCGTTTCTTTCGGGATACTCGGCGGGCAAAGAAAGAGCTTATCGAAGCTGATAATAAGCGGCTGGCCCCTGAGGTAGACACGATTGTTCTCGCCTTTGCTGATCGTAACGATTTGCTGACGTTTGACCCTATCGTTCACAAGTTCCCATAACTCCAGCACGATATCAGGCGAGCTCCGGCCGATCATTATTGTGATGACCATTTGAACATCGCCGTTGGATTCGGAAAGCCAGAACCGAGTATCCGATATTAATTTGCCAGGAGACTTTAAAAAGCCCGTTTCCACAATAAGCGTGGGCCATTTCTTCGTTCGAGCTAGAGGAAGTCTGTTTGGTAAAAATTGGCAGTCGGGCTGTTTAGCGGAGCCATTTTCTGCTTTATAAGTGGCGGATCCAAAGCTTCGAAGATAGTAATCGAGGCCCATTGGCTTAAGATAATCAAAGAAGAGCCTTTCAGATAAGTGTGCCGTAATTTCATGAGTGCGTGAGACTGTCATTTTGACAAGGAGAAGGTGTTGGGAAGAGTCGTAAGAATTCCAGCAACGCTGAAGGATAATGGAAAGCCAAGATCGTTTGAACAGATAGACCAAGCCAGTTGCTGGCACATCTGTCCGCCTCTTTCAAATATCTCTCGGACTTTTCGTGTTGCTGGCTAGAAGGCTAGCGAGCGAGACAATTTAATATTTGAAACTGTCGAACAAACGTGCCAATAATTGGCTTGATCGAGACTTTCCAAGGCAGTGAATGTGACTTCGTGATTTTCGATGCGGTGCGCGCCAAGACGATTGTCTTTGAGCGGTGAGAGAGATATGTAGAAGGTTAGATTCTCTACAACGATCGAGATCTAGTTAGTTAGTTAAATAGCTAGGTGAAGCCTGGCAAACCAGGCAACGGCATGTGATCGGCACGTGGCCACCACAACAGATTGGTTTGTTGCGTTGAGTCGTGATATGACTGGGTAGATCCAGGAAAGCCATGAAAGCCATGAAAGTGTTTTTTCACTCTCGTAAATTGGCATGACCTTGACGTCGACTGCAAAGTAATTATCTTGCTCGTATCCAGCCATTTCGTTCTCATGCCCTGCAATAGCCACATATCCAAGACCATGTAGTTTTGGTCATTCCAGAAAGCGATAGAACTCTTTCTCTTCTCTGACCTCCGGAAATTAGGTCTCAAGCGCATGAAATACCAAGATGGTACTCGATGTACGGGTTTATCACAATCAGTCCGTGCTTTTAATTTGCAAGGTTACACAAAGAAGCCGAATGAACTTCAGGGACAACGGGTGAAGTGAATACTCCATATTTTGAGGCTGTGTTCCTAGGTGAAGATATATATCGGATCTGCTGATCGGCCACATACGTCATTTAATATCGGCAGAGCCGCGTCGAAGGAACCCTAATGAATGCAGGACGTACTTGCTAGTATATATTTCATTTATCATTTACATAAGAGCATGCATGTCCTCTCCAGTAAGCAAAGAAGGCAGAAAAGACAGGGATACAAACCGAAGACGAGAGCAGGACAAGCCCCCGAAATGAAACAATTCAGACAACATAGTAAAAACCCATGAAACAGCAAAGAATCAACCGAGGGCGACCTCAAACAACAGTGTAAAAGTTCATAAACGCCGAGATATATATACCACCCTGCTCGACATGTTCCATGTAGCCAGTATTAGCAATCTCAATACAGGAAAGTCAAGTTATTTCCAGGCGTTGAGACCAGCCCACGGATCGGCGGAGGAGCCGGGCTGCGACTGAGGCTGCGACTGTGAAGGGGTCTTGTGGTGCCCGTACGGTCTGCTCTGCGCATAGCCACCAGGACCAGAGGCGTATGTAGGACCTGCTGTAGGAGGATAGGTTGTCTGCTGGGGACGCGGAGGAGGCGGAGGAGGGATATAGCCCTGGGCAGCCATATAGTGCGAGGGCTGAGGGCCAGCGCCAGGAGCCGGCGTGCCGGAGTTTGAGTAGCTGCCGTACGGGACCGGGGTTTGAGAGAAAAATTGCCGATTCGGGGGTGGGGACACGGGGGTCTGGTAAGGATATGCCATGGGGTTGTAGCCATCGGATAGGGGAGCTGCGGCACCTTGCTGGAAATGCTGGGCTGGGTAAGCTCCTGGACCACCTCCCATGTACTGCCCGTAGGGCGCTGGAGAGTGGGACACGCCTGGCAAGGTCGGAGGGTAGCGGGGTGACGGCTTTGGGGATGGACCGGTGGTTCCATACGCCGGTGTCTGAACCGCCGGGGGTGGTGACTTGACTTTTGAGGGCGGTTTTGTTGACCCCGCGGAGGGAGGTTCCGTTGATAGGCGCTCCATCAGCTGGCGGAGCTTCTCTCGCTCGCGGTCTTCTTGCTCTGAGACACCGCTGGACTGATCGCGGTTGTTGAACGAGTCGGGATTCCTGCGGAGACCGTCTGCACTGTTGCCCACACCCTTTTCACGCTCAATCTGACTGAGAAGCTGCGCACCTTCTGACCGGCGGTTGTTGATGAAAGTTTCGACATTCTTGCGGAGACTGTCGACATTTTCACACATTTCCTTGTAAAAAGTCCGTGCTTGCTTGATACCCGACGAGAGCCCATGGAAGGCTTCATAGACCTTCTTGTATCGAGCTAGCACGGAATTGCGCTGTCTTGTTATAGACTCCCACTTCAACTTCTCGGATTGAACTCTTTTGTCTCGACGAAGGTCATCGTATAGCTTGTTGAGTTCTTTTATCAAAGATGATTGTTTGTGATTCGCCTGTACAAGTATGTTCTGATATGGCAGGAACTTTGGCAATTGTTTTTTGAAGCATTCGGTTTCTTGGCCGACAATCGACTTCAGGTTTAGAATCAAGAATTCCGTGATGTCATCTGCGTGGATCTAAAGACAGGGTTAGAGATTTTTCGTGAACAGACACGCTAGGATGCTTACCGCCGCTTTGAGATCTGTGAGCAATTGAGACCTCTCTCGGTCCACGAGATTGAGTTTCTTTAGAATCACCTCCACTTTAGCAATCTGCTCTGCAACAGAGGCGCGACCCTCATCGTACACATCATCAAGCAGAGTACCTTCCGCCGGACTAGTGGCACCGTCCTTGCCCTTGCTATGCTTCGAACGGACTTTGATCAATGCTCGCTGGAAGAGAACATCGGCCTCATCCGTTTCGCCAGCAGACCGCATCTCATCAAAATCGCTGTCATACTGCCGAAATGTGGAAGACAACTGAGAATCACTTGCGCTGGCCTCGTTGATAGTATCTCGATAAGATCGGACATCCCCTCGAAGCGTGGTATTGAGTCGAGAGCTGGGTTGCTGGCCCCAATCTGCTCCATACTTTGATCGCATCTTCTCACACACGCTCTCTTCTAGATCTAGCTGCTTTGAGCACTCATCTAATTGCGATAGCACTTCTAGCTTGCGCTCCTGCAACTCGTCGAATGCCCTGCGGAAGGGACTGTGACCAGCAAGTTCTGAACACCAGCGACGGAACTCACTGTCCACTGACATGTCCTGGTTCATGCCACCCTTCAAGACATCGAGAGAACCTGGCAGGTCGAGGGAGAGCAAGCTAGCGGCCAGCTCACTCCTGGCAGTCTCGGCCTTTTCAGTCTCAGCTCGAAGCAACTTGTCCTTTTCTTCAGAGTAAATACTGGCGATCTGAGTTACCTTCTCAGGCACTAGTTTTTTGAAGATGTCTGGCCCAGTGATTTCCGTAATATCTTGTCCTTGGTATAATTCGCTAACCGGGATTGCCTTGGCAGCTGCAACCCTTGCAACTGGTGAAAGACCAGCCTCATTAGGGACCGGTTGGTGATAGATGAAATCATTGTCTTTGACCATAGTGGCAAGTAAAGCTTGCACATTTGTTTGATTATGCTTGACGAGGTCCACGAGGTTCGGACCCGCCTCTGCCGTCAGGCTGGAGGTCGCTGGAGGCGACGAGGGGAAAGTCTTTGCCCAGCTTAGAGCAGTGGCGGACTGCTTATCGGCCATCTGTAAACGAGCAATAGCAATTCCATAAGATCCGCTCTCACTGTCCGCAACCGCCTGGTAATATGATGCTACTGATCCCATATGTGCTGCCTTGGTCTGCACAACAACCGTCCAGACCTTGTCAAACACATTCTTTTCCACGAAATTTTGCATTATCTCCGCAGCCTGTGAGTAGAGGTACGCTGCCTGTCCAGCCAGCTTGGCCAAAAGCCCAGGCTTCCTCTGGTCTGCCACTTGTTTCTCAAAAAACACCTCTTGGGCTTGAGCTAGTGTGACATTTATCAGTGTCTTGATGGTGTCCTCTTTCAGGTCGGTTGATGGCGGATGTAAGAAGTTCTTATTAATATATGTAAACATTCCGGCGGATGCCTGGAAAGAGTGATAGGCGGTCTTGAGACCGGTGTCGTCGGCCCGGCTCTGGTTGGCAGCATGGCAACATAGGATGGCGGAGATGTTAAAGATAATGGATGCCTTTTCGAAGGCTAGCGAGAATTGAGAAGTAGACGCATGAGTGAAAGCATCGTACCTATAGAAAATAGTAAGCAAAAGTGGAACACACACGAGAAAAATACCCCTACCATGTGAAAGAGATCTTGATGTGGTTGTCATCGATGGGGAACCTGAGGTCCAGCAGCTCTAACTGACTGTAGTATCGATACAACAGATCACGACCGATAGCGCTGTCTTTCCCTACACCCCTCATGTCCTGGCGAAGTCGGTTGAGAGTCGCGCATTCTTGGTTGTATCGCTCGGGATCCTCGCCATTGCTCTGTCGAATGTAATCCTTGAGGGGCTGGATCCAATCAATCTCGTTGGTCTGCTTCAACGGACATGATAGCATCGGCGACTGAGCCATTGTCGGATGGTTGCCAGGAGCGATATGCTCCCATCCAATAATACGAAAACCGGGCGAGAGAAAAAAAAACGCGGGGCAGGGATGGTCAGAAGCTCCGTGTCTGAGGGGGTCGGAGTCGAGGCTGTGGGGTAAGGGAGACGGAACGGTCAGCGCCTGATCCCTAGTGCGTCAATGACGTCGGCCAATCAGGTATTCTTCGATGCAAACAATCTAGAAGGTGACAAAATAATGGCAGTATTTTGGGAAAGAAAAGAGTCGCCTAGAGTGTTGAAGTGTTGGAATGTCGGAGGAGGGAGATGTGGGATGTGATATCCGTGGCTGTGCCTCGATGGGCGCCAAACCCCAAATTAGCCGCTCAACTACAAATACATATAGAACGCCATTGAACAAAACATTTGAATTTTGAGTAATATAAGATAATTAATAGATGGGAATGATCATAGTACAGTCAGAAGTAGAGAGCTTCTAAGACATCTATCACTCGAGAATAGTAATACAAGTATTCTGCCCCTAAGACCTGGGCAGAACAGGTCCCCAATATCGCCGGCGCTATGACATGGGTGAGGTAAATACAAACGGATATAGAGTACATGATGATTTACATTTTCAGCTCGACTTCTTCGAGCTATCCTTGCTGCTATCGTCAGCATCCTTCTTTT